AGGGGGAAAGCACGGAGCTGAGAGCCCTGGGCAGTGTGCGCAGGGGGAAAGCATGGAGCTGAGAGCCCTGGGCAGTGTGGGCAAGGGGAAAGCACAGTGCTGGCCACTTGGGGCATTTTCCAGGCTCTGCTGTAACAGGCTTTCCTCAGTGGGTCTTCCAGAGTCCCCCTGGCAGGTGGTGGTGGGGAATGAAAGCTAGTTGCTGCAGAACTCCTCCTGTTTAGACGAGTCTCTGGATGGGACAAACAGTTGAGTGCTGGACTGCTAACCGAAAAGTTGGCGATTCAAACCTACCCATAGTACTTCCCAGTAGGCACCTTGGAAGTAAGTCCTGGCAATCTGCTTCCAAAAGGTGACAGCCTTGGAAACCCTATGGGCAGTTCTAGTCTGCACAGGTGGGGTCACCGTGAGTCAGCACTGATGTGACTGATAGCAAAACACTCCCCCGTTACTCAGCCTGACTTCAGGCACTTCCACACCAACCCTGGCCTCAGTTGCTTGTGAGTGTAAGGCGAGGGGAGAGGGCCATGGCCCCCCAGGTCCATTCTAGCTCCCCCATAAGTGGCTGCCTCATGTCCTGGCTGCTGTGGTCTGCTTTCCACCTGCAGCTCTGCTGTTCTAACCAGCCAGAAGGCATGGCCGGGGCAGAGCAGCCTGCACTTCTTCCAGTGGGAGAACCTGCCTGGGGAGAGCTTTCCCAAGGGATGGGGAGGGCGGAGCAGCCAGGGCCCCAAGAGACAGTGGGGCTGTCTGGGGCTGCTCAGGCCCTGAAGGGATGAGCGGAGTCCTGCTGCCTCCCTCTAAATGCCAGCCTCCGTAACACTCGGCAAATATCCAGGCCAGCGTGGGCTCTCCCAGAAGCTCTTCAGGACTCCATAAAGTACCGGAGGTCACTCTGAGAGAAGCAGTGGGGTGGGTAATTCACAGCGTAGAACAATGCCAAAGTCACCTGCATCTGTTCTGCAGGTGCGCTGTGCGTGTGAGTGCGTGCGTGTGCGTGCAGGTGTGTGCGTGCGGTGTGTGTGAGTGTGCTGTGTGTGTGTGCAAGTGTGTGTCTGTGTGTGAGTGCGTGTGTGTACTTTTTATTCCTTCCTTCCTGGAACCACGTTTGTTTTTCTAATTCTGTTTCCCTTTGGGGAGCAGGTACTGGCTAAACTCTGGAGGTGAGAGGTATTTGAGTGTGTGTGCGTGGGGAGGGGAACTTTTGCAGAGTTCCCAAATTCCCTGTGCACAGTCTGGATAATCCACCTACAGAAAATCAAGCATTGTGGTTCATCATTCCGGGATGACTATGGTGTGAACCCACAGAGAAGCCCACCTGGCACTCTCCCCCAGCAGGTTCCTAGGGATGGACGAGAATTTCAGACGTTAACTGTCTCGGGGTGACCGAGCCTAACTCATGGTTGAAACTACCCTGGAGACTTTAAGAAATGCGGATTCACAAGCCCCACCTAATTTACTGACTCACAACTTCCAGGTCGTGGGGCCCAAGAATACGTGTTTATAAATCTGTCGTGATGCTCTGGGCGTCACACTAGGTTTGGGAACCTGATCGACTGTGACCCCCTAAATAGGCAGGATCTGTGCTGGCCGTCTCTCCACATAACTGCGTCTCCAGGTCTTTCTCTGTGGATGGCCTTGAGCATGTTACCCTGGCAACAACACCCACACCGAAGCTCACCAGCCATCCGCATCTCTCTGGGCAGCCCAGACAGATAACTAACATGCCGGGACTCCAGCCCTCAGAACAGCTACCCCAGACGTCTGGGCTGTTATGACCCTCTTTTGGTCTTCTCTAACGAGCCCCTGTGGAGCAGTGGTTAAGCACTCGGCTGTTAACCGAAATGTCAGCAGTTCGAACCCACCAGTGGCTCTGTGGGAGAAAGATGTGGCAGTCTGCTTCCATGAAGATTACAGCCTTGGAAACCCTATGGGGTAGTTCTACTCTGTCCTATAGGGTCGCTATGAGTCGGAATCCACTAAAGGGCAACGGGTTTGTCTCCTCTGGGCTGCAAGAGGGTGGGTAGTAAGATGCTGGTGCCACACAGAGAGCGGGAGAATTTTGGCAGCAAAACCTCTGCGTGGAGCTCCAGTTTTAAGGAACTTAGAAATGGTTCTCAGCTTCTAGAACGATACATCTAATGCCTGCCACATAGTGCTCACTCACAAGTATCTGCAGAATGAGTTAATGAAAGCATTTCTAGGGTATTAGGAAGGGATCAGAGGGTAGGAGGACCCTAGCCAGGGTGGGGGTTGGAGGGTCTTTACCAGATTGTCCAGTTCTGGGTCATCGCTGAAGAAGGGTTTGTGCTCCTGCTCCTGCTGGTGGACAAAGTTCTCGATGTCCACATCAAAGCTGGCGGAGGTGATGCACTCAGAGCCCTGGGTGGCCTGTTCACACTTCTCAAACAGCAGCGTCAGGAGTGGGAAAAGAGGGTGCCTGCGGGGACATCAAGAGCTCACACATGTGCACACACAGAGACCATGCTGCTGGCTGGGCTTGGAAGCCACCAGGGCCCCTGCCCACATTCCCATCACTTCTTCTCCCGAGGTCCCACTCCTTGAGGATGTTCTTGGTCCCCATGCTCAACCAAGATGGCAGCATCTCATGCCATGGCATGGAGACTCCAGGCTCCTGGTTCCTGGGGCCTCAGAAGGCTTCTAGTCCTACTCATGGGTGCCTGCCTGTTCTTTTTGGCCAGACAAGCTGCATGGATGTGGTGAGGGATGATGAGTTATAGCCCTTCAAAGAAATAGGAGTCCATTTCTGGCTCAGGGTCACCACGGGAAGGAAATGTGGGAAGTGTCCAGAAAAGTCCTGGCCGTGAATATCAGTGAGAGGTCACATCCCACTGGTCGCTGTCTGGAGCCAGCTGAGGGCAGCATATGTGTGCGTCTGTGGGTTTGCACGGTGTGTGCAGGGTGTGTGTGTGGCCAGGACACATGTCCGCACATGGTGGACGGAGCTCTCCCCATGTCCTGCATCTGTTGGCAGACTCTGTTTAGGTTGCACACCCTATTACACGTTAACATATTTCTGCAATTTTCCATCGTCACACACTCAGCACAATGGTAATTAAATGATTGGTTGCATAGTTATTTGTTCACTATCTTCCTTGAAGTCGTACATATCTTAACCATCATTGTATCCCTAGGGCCTTGCCTGTGCACGCTTACAGCAGTACTTAATAAGTAGTTGGTGAGTGACTGAATGAGTCAAGGAATGGAGGAATGGAAGAGTATGTGAGTGTGTGTGGATGTGTGCATGGTTCTCCAGTGCGTGTATGTATCAACGTGAGCTGAAGTGCTCGCCTGCATAGCTCTAGGGGCCTGATCTTAGACATCACCAGTTCTGGGAACTTCCCTGATGCCCCCAGCCTATGCTGATAGCACGCTGAGTTGTCTGTTTTATCTTCTGCCTTCCTCACTAGACTGTGAGCTGTATAAGGGCAGGAATCAAGTTCACTCCATTCATCACTGCATGGCTGGAGTGTAGCAGAGGATGTGGATCTCAACAAACACTTCTTGAATCCATACGTGTTACCTGTGGGTACGCTTGATGTTCATGTATGAGGACATATCATGTGTATTTCCACAGCATGTATGAATGACTGCATCTCAAAGCTCAGCATGTGTGTGTGCGTGTGCATGGGCTGTTGACATTGGACTCTGGACAGCCCCATTCCCTTCCAGAGGGGTTCCCAAAACACATCTGCACATCTCTCCCTGTCTCTTTGCTCAGCCTTCCGGGACCACCAAACCTGGCTCCTTTCTTTTTAGGTAAGCCTTGTTTATTGGGAGAAGAGGAGGACGCATGTTGAGTCCCAGTCACCCTCTGCCAACAGGGATGTCCTAGCCAGCGCCGTCCAAAAGAACTTTCTTCAGTGATGGAAACACTCTATAATTCCCGCTGTCCAATGGGTTAGCCACTCACCACATCTGGCCATTGGCCATTTGGAACATGGCTGTTATCGCTAGGAGACTGAATTTTTAATTTTGTTTCATTTAAATTTAAATAGCTTCGTGTGGCGAGTGGCTACCATACTGGACCGTGTAGTAAATCCTGAAGAGGAAAAAAACAGACCATGCTTTTTCTCTCCAGACGCTGTGACTGAGCATCTAGTCCATGCATGCTTGTAAGTGGGCAGGGGAGCCCCTAACAGCCTGTCCCATTCTGAATTCTTATAATTCTCGCCAAAAATCAGGAAGTGGCTTCCCCTATCCACACTCACACCTACATCTTATTGGTCTTTCTAATCAGGCTTAGTTCCCTGAGTGGTGTAAATGGTTTGCACTTGACTCCTAACTGCAAGTTTGTCGGTTCGAACCTACCCAGCAGCACCATGGAAGAAAGGCCTGGCAATCTGCTTTCGTAAACATTACAGCCAAGAAAACCCAGTGGAGCAGTTCTACTCTGTAACACATGGGGTTGCCACAAGTTGGAACCGACTTGACGGCAATGGGTTTTTGTTTTTTTAAATCAGGCTCACCGGCAGTGGCAGGCAAGTGGAGATAAATTCCTGCTGCGGATGAGCCGATTGGTGGGGCAATACCTGTCCCTGGACCTAATCTCCCAGCCTTTGATTTGGGACCTGATACATAAACAACTGGGCCCCAAGGCCATAGGCTGGGTGCACAGTCTGCAGGAAAAAGGTGAGAAGCCGGGAGTGGCCCATCTGCAGCCCCAAGCTGCTAGAAGATCTATCCAGCCCCGATAGGAAGCTGGTGGGGCAAACAATAGGTTAGCCTGGCCATCTGGCTGAAGACAAAGAGAAAACCAGGTGAAGGAGTTAAACTCCGGTATAAGTCTTCATTTGCAGCCACTAATACTGCAGCATATTATAGTCTAATCTAACCTGATCCCAGTTTAATGCAAGATTCTCCTGGCCCTGAGTGGAATACCAAAAAAAGCCTCAGTGGCTGTAATTTAAGCAGAGCCCTGCAGCGGTTTAGCTGAGGGACATGAAAGGCAAATTCCAGACGGTGTTATGAATTATTGCGCCTTATGAACCTCCTTGCTTTCAACAGATGCCTGCTGCCATTTAAACAGCCACTAGATCAATTAGGAATGAAAGGCACAAATCGACTCTGTACAAGGGCCCTAAATTACCAGGAACTAATAATCCGCAGCACCGTGCCAGGTGGTGGGAGCACAGCCCCGAGCCCCCAGCCCCGAGGCAGCCCTGCGGTCAGCGCACATTTCTCTCTCGCAGGTTGGAGGGAGAGTGGGCAGCTGCCGAATGAAGAGGGGAAGGTCTGTTTGTGCGTGCGTGCGTGAGTGCGTGCGTGTGCACGCGTGTGCACCGTGGTTGAGTGTATGCTGTCAAGGAGAGCAAGCGTGTGTTGTGTGTATGCGCTGTCCCATATGTTTGCTTTGTGTGTGCACAAATGGTGGTGTATGTGTGCAGTATGTGTGCACGCGTGCATTGTGTGTAGGCAATTTGGGTGCAGATTTTGTGTGCTGTGAATATACTGTATATTGTACACAGTGTGCATGCATGCGCTATGCGTTATTTGTATGCCATCTGTGTGTGGGAACTGTGTGTTCTGTGTACACAGCACAAGTGGTGTGTGGGGTGGGGAAGAAGGATCTACGGCGATTCAGTGCCCTGGCCACCAGCACTAGGGTTGGGGCGGGGAAAAGGAGGGTTGTCTCCTCTGCTACTCTGCTTGCTCCTGCAGGGGGAAAAGCTGTACTCAGGGTGGTCAGGGAGGGCCTCCCTGAGGAGGTGACATTTCAGTTAAGCCTCGAATGATGAGGAGGCAGTCTTGCAGAGATCGGAGGGCGGGACGTTCCAAGCAGGAGAAAAGCAAGGGCAGAGCACTGAGACAGGAATGAGCGTGGCCTGTTTCAGGAACAAAACCCAGACGGTGTGGGTGGATGGAGGTAGTCAGGAGGGCAGTGGAGGGAGAGGAGGATGAAGAGGTAAGCGGGGTCCGATCATGAGGCACCTTATATGTCTCAGACAAAGCTGGGCTTGCGGGGGCGGTGGGCAGCACTGTCAGCTGCAATGGGAACACACGCACCTTCTGTGCAGAGACGCTTAGCATGGGTCCCTTTTATAAGCCCTTTTCGGTTCTAGGTGTCAGGTCTCTCCAGAATGAGGGGTGGTAGACTTCTCTGGGGGTGTTTCTGCTCTCTCAAAACAGGGGAGCATGCTTTCTGTTCTTCCCCCTAAGTTAACTAAGGGTCCGTGGAGCACAGGGCAGAGACATCATGCATGCTGGCAGCCCCTGCCTCTCCCACCAGCCTGAGGACTGAACAGTCAGGGCTGGAGGACAGTGATCTATCTGTACATCAGCTCCCAAATCCTCCCTTCTCAGGCCCCAGCCTCCCAGCTCCTGCCTCTGGTTCCCTGCACCCCAACCCCAGGAGCCCATCCATGTCACTGAGCTACCGTGGCACCAAGCTTACCCACACCTGCTCTTACGGACCCAGCCGGGGTCAGGGGGCGGCCCTGGCTCTCGGGTGCTGCACCCGAATCCCTCCACGAACCCAGACTGCTACCCGCCCCTTGAGAAACAAGCTCCGTTTCCCAGAGACTCAGCTGGGTTTCAGGGCTGCAGTGCGGCCGTGGGCTTTTCTAAGGTATTCCCAGCCTGGTTCTGGGACAGTCATTTACCCCTTCCCCTGTCGCCCGGCCTGCGCCTGCCTGCGGGTTGACCCATGTGTTCTAAGCTACCCTCCAACACCGCCCCGTAAGGCTGGCGATGAGGCTGGCGGCTACCCGCAAGGAGTCCTTTCCAGCAGCCTCAGCTGCAAGCTTAGGGGGAGGGTGGGGTCAATAGGGCAGGGACCACCGAGCTGAGCATCCTTGGTGCCTGGGACACGAATGGTTGAACCAGAGAGGGGGTTTCCAATTAGATGTGGGAACTTGGTTCTGTTATCCCTGCCTTCCCTGAGCCTCAGTTTGTACAACTGGAAAATGGCTTTTAAGGAGTTCCTCTTCTGGCCATCCAGATCTCTTCCACTGGGAATGACTACCCTTTGGAGGGCTAGAAGCTGGAAAGTGGCAGCTCGGCCCCAGTGCCCCGAAGGCAGTGAACAAGGCATGAAAGATAACCATCGGACCTTATTTCCAGGGCGTTTGACTTCCATCAGAGCTCACCCATCTCGAGACCTCCTACTCCCCTTCCCCACTCCCCCTCCAGGCCTCTCCCGCCTGACCCCCCCACCCCAATCTCTCTTAAGCCGTTCAGAATTTGGAGGAAATAAATCTCACTCACTAATTCAGTGAGAGGCTGAGCCTCGTCAGTGCAGAACAAATAAAAGGAGTGAACTGGCATGACATTTTACTGCAGAAGAGAGGTCGTTTCAAGCCACTAATAAAAAGGATTTGACACAGACTAATAAAGAGAAATGAATTTCTCTAATGGCCTAATTTAGCACATTCAGCACTGTGCCTCCGCCTGGGTGCTGCCAGGGCGGGAGCGGCTCCA